TATTGAAATTAAGTTAGTTTTTCTTCAAATAACCTAGGAAAAATCTTACTTTTTATTTAAAACCATTATCACGTATGTTTATAGCTACTTCAACCGACTTTTTAATATGAGCTGTATACTATGTCTCGTCTGGACAGCCATAGACCAGGCACACAACTTATTTTCTATCATTGACTAAGAAAGAGTAGGTTGAAAGATGGTGTAAATCATTTCTAAGAAAATAATCATTCTCTATGTGGAGAGGAAAATTAAGACAGGAGATTTACAGGTCAAATTTGTCCGAACAAAAGAGAGAAACGATTGATAGAAAACAATATTAATTTAGAAAATGAATTTAGAATTAAAAAAAGGAAACCTTTTTTCTTAGACAAAAGTAGGTACCGTCACTAAATCGGTATAAAATTTCGAAACCTTAGATTTAAAATAAATTTTTAAAAATGAAAACACATTCTTGAAGATTTCTTTTTAGCTTTAATTGAACGCGAAAGGATTAAATTTACTTTTTCCAGCAAGCAAAATACTCTGGTGTATTTCAAATAGAAATTATATACATTAGAATGCCAATTATTTGCTCGCTTTCACAAAATCGATTGCAGACAGCCATTTTCTCATATTTTGTAAATAAAATTTAATTATCGGTATTAAAAATCTTGCAAAAATAATAAAAATATATTTGTGGCATGTTATTTAAGGAAAATTAGTAAGTTTAATGTTAAATTAATCTTATTTGAAACAAAAATTACTTAATTATAGCATAAAAAACGTAGTATACAAGCATTTCTTAACCACGGGTCCTGTTTTCTGAGGTGTTGATTGACGTTATCGACGGGCTAATGTGTTGATAGCTAATTATGGATGACCAGACCTGACATAAATTTACGAAATCTGAGTGAATGCATTTTGTTTTTTTTAACTACATAATTTTTACAAATTAACAATATTTTCAGCAATTATCTAATATTTTATTGACTTTTAGTTATTATGGTGTTATAGTCTTACGTTTGAAGATGATTTATGGAAAAATAATAAAATTTAAAATATAAAATATTCTTAAAGTAATTTTAAAATTTAATAACTGAAATATTGATGAAATGCTATAATAGCGGTAACTCAATAATTTATGAAATGTTATGGCATTTCATTTATTATTAATTTATGTATTTTTAATATTTTTTGTTTTAAATTTTAAAGTTTTAAATCTTTGAAGGGATGATGTACAAAGCCTGTTGAGATGTAAATATGCAATGAATAACGAATTGCAGACAAGCGAATTTCTCTGTAACTCTTACAACATGTAACCTTTTAATAATAATGTCATGTGTAGACTACCATACATGTAAAAATGCGAATGTTTAAACTAAGAAAATTAAAAACTATTTAAAATTTTTTTGTGCTAACGACTTATATTAAGTTTTTCAATTTTTGTTTCATAAATATAGTTTCCCCTTAATTACAATATCACCTAAAAGAAATGAATGCAGAATTTTAAACTCTTTTTAAATTATTATAAATTATTATAATTATTATAATTAAAAAAAAACAATGTAAACAATTCTTGCAAAAATTCATTATTCATAGAAATTTTTTTCATAAGACAATAATGTCCTTAATATATTTTATTTATAAAAGTAATTAAAATTAATTCTAATTAAATGATGTCATAGTTTTATTACATTTTTAGTTTACCATTTGGAGCAGATTTTTGGAAAAACAGCAGTAGTTTGAAAAAAAAAGATGATGATTTACATTTTCCAAGGAGTCCTACTTTTTATCTAATGAAAAGGTTTGGAAGGAAAATTAAATTTCTCGAAATTTCATGAAATTGTGGGGGTAACATATATATATATATATATATATATATATATATATATATATATATATATATAAATACAAGATTTTCTAAAACAAAAAAATGAAAAAATAATCTAATTCATTTGTGAATAAGTTCTGAAAGTTTCATTAAAATCTGAAAATTATTTGATTTTTGCAAGAATTTCCAAATCAGTGAAACTTCCCACCCAAAAGAAAAAACGCAAAATCACTAAAGATTTTTAACCCAAAGTTCGAACGTGTTAGAAAGGATTAAAAAATAAAAAAAATACTTTGGTCTTTTCTCTTAATAATAACATAAACATCTTTGTTTTTATTAAAGGCCTTTTTTCATCATGTTATAGTGTTTTTCAGCAAGCAATTGGAGGCAACTAGACAAAAGCATTTGCTAAAATCCCTGATCAGTTACGCATGAAAGTTGTTGTAACCTTCAAGAATGTTTATACCGATTATAACATTGGCTTTACTTTATATTATCATTTTGTAGTCGGTGAGTTTCTACACCAGAAGTTATGTGTTGTCTCAAAGTATTGCAGGTAGCGTAACAAATCTTCCGAAGGCAGTTTCCTAATTTAATTCTATCACCTGGTTTGGTTTTAAATCCTCCAACATTTGCGAAATTCTTAGCAACTGTGCCAAACGCTCTAATAACGATATTTTCATCAGAAAACTATTACAGTTTCATTTTGTAGTTTGCTGAAAAGGTGATATTTACTGTTCTATTTTCTTTTTACTTTACGCTGATTAGGTATTGTCCTATGATATGATATGAGGGATCCATTTCAACTTCAAAGTTCCCTAACATATATTTTTTCTACTTATATTTTGCTTTGTTCACTGGACTGCATTATCAAATCACAATCGTTTGCACGCTTTCCATTCGGTCACTGTTCTAGTCAGATATTTCTATTTACATAACCTCTGAATATAATTTGCTACATTTATTTATATAATTGATTTCATCTTTGTTTGCACAGAATTGACATTTGTATTACGATTAGCACGATAGCTACATCGCAAGTCATACGATGTAGCTATCATAGTAGCTATATTATAAATGGTTTTAAATTTTCTAGTTCTTTGATTCACTTGCTCACTTGTTTAGAAAGGCTTCCTTATGTATTTACGTCTGTTAAGATTTTTTGTTGTTGGTTTTCATTCGTGTCTATAAAATATTTCTTGTCCTCTTCAGATATTTTTCCTTAATTTTCCTTTATCCAGTTTTAATTGAATCATTTTTTTCCAAATATTCCAAAAGAAAAAAGCAAAAATCATTTCACTATGCTCTTTTCAATGAAATGGTCTGATCCCTTCATTAATTGAATTCTTTATTCATACTTTATTTTTCTCGTTCTTTGTGACACATTACTCGCTCCCAAATTTCATTCTGATATTTTTGCTAAAAATATGAATAAAGAATAATATATATACTCACACACGCGCGCGCAAATACACATATGTATGTGTGCGTGTGTAAATAGTAATGGTACAGCGTTGGTGTTTGAATAAATAAATTTGTATTAAACTTTTTCCAAATAATTTTTTTCAATATTCTTCGATTATATTATTTTAAATACTTTGTTTTAATATTCACTTTTTAAAAAGTATTTTATCTTTTTAATTTAAAGTTGTTTAAAAAAAATCTGTTTTTATTTCATAACATTTAAAATTGACCCTTTGAAAATTTTGCTAAGTGTGCCGTGATAGTTTTATTTGCTCCTAGGTATGCTGTTCCTTGAAAAAGTTTGAGAAATACTGTTTTATATTTTCATTTATATATATATATATATATATATATATATATATATATATATATATATATATATATATATATATATATATATATATATCTGAATGTTCTGTAATTTTAGCATTTTTAAACATTTTAAAAGAATTTTAATTTTGGTAATTTATCAATGCTAATACAATAGATTCAACTTAGTTTTATTTATTTTGGAGATTTTTAAACATTGGATCCTTTATTCCTCTGAATCATTTCCTTCATGTTTTGGTGAAAGTTAATTTCTTTCTAAGAAGCAAAATATATTCCGTCAGTTAGTTTTCCTGTTGGAATCTCCGTACTCATAAGCATACATATTATAGGCTTCTATTGACTTGCTACTGTTCTTTTTTTTTCGGTCTCTTTTTAAATCAAAGTCGTTTTGCTTTTTGTCGACCGTTGTAGGATCTTTACTTCTAACAAGCTGTTAAATCTGTTGTGTAGAGGTGAATCCATAGTTTCCATTGTTATCTATCTATCTATCTATCTATCTATCTATCTATCTATCTATCTATATTCCATGTGTTTTTTTTTTTTTTTTTAGGTTCGACGATTTATTCATCTATCTTGTAAGTTCATTTGTGTACTTCTGTAACCGATAATATTTTCTTTAATTTGTTTATTTCTCAGTAAGATTTCCTGGTTGATAAATTTGTTGTGTATTTGTATAATATTTATTACAATTATTTTCTGCTTCTCCTTTTTTTCATATTTATTTCCATCTGAATGTGATGGTTCTTCATTCTCTGAAAGAACTTATTAACTGCTAATTTTTTTGTTTATAATATTCTTAGTCCGCGAGAGCTGATTATAGGATCAAATAGCAGTGAACACGATTTTTAAGAGTAAGCTTTTGTCATCGTTTCGTAACAAATACAAAACGGGTAAGAAATCCGTTTATTAGGGTTCTGTGATGTGATCATTAATTTGGATGAGATCAGTGTATGTTAAACGTTGAAGAGAAAATTGTGTGTTATATATCCGGTTGACTGCTTTCGTATTATCGAACAATTAAATCAATTATTCGGTGTTCAATGCTGGTATTTTTAGATACCAGAATGCCTTGAACAAGCACTATGGCATATAAGGGTAAGAAATCCGTTTATTAGGGTTCTGTGATGTGACATCTGACTTGTTTAGAAAGGTCTGAACAGGATCAATAAAGTCAAAAGAGAAGATGAAGGAGAATAAGTGCTAACAGTAAAACTTAGTTTGAAGTATCAATATCTGAAGTAAATATAAAGATCTTTCTGTGAGTGAGCATTTAAGTTGACTTTACTTTGAAGGAATAGATTTGCCTGGAGATTCTGACATCACCAGAACAGAAACTTTAAGAAGGAGCAGACAAAAGCGCTGTTAAGCAGATATATTGTGTTCTTTAAAGATTGGCTTGCAGTCATATTACGTTGAAACACCGGTTCTCGTAAGATCAGCAAAATTAAGCAATATCTAGCCTGGTCAGTACCCAGCTGGGTGACTTCTTGGGAATACTAGGTGTAAGCTTTGATGTGTGTGCGTTGTGTTCAAGGAGTTCAACTGATCTCAATGGTACCTCATAATAATTATATCAGAAATAACTTGTGGATGGTGTTTAAACCAATCATGTGGCATCAAGATGTGTCCCAAAAAGTGTACTTTGCGTGTATTGCATTCATTTTGGAAAATTGATTAACGCATGATCATTAATTTGGATGAGATCAGTGTATGTTAAACGTTGAAGAGAAAATTGTGTGTTATATATCCGGTTGACTGCTTTCGTATTATCGAACAATTAAATCAATTATTCGGTGTTCAATGCAGGTATTTTTAGATACCAGAATGCCTTGAACAAGCACTATGGCATATAAGTGGGAGAGAAAAGCAATTCAGAAATTATGGCCTATAGTTTCTTATTCTAGAGTAGAAAAGTGTCAGGGAGTACTGCGGTTTCATAACGTATTATTTTGTTTCAATTTAGATGCAGTTCACCAGTGCAGATGTTAGAACATTCGTGACAGTCCGTCGTGTTTGCTGCCGTTGTTGTTTCTGCTAGCAATGAAATTGATTGTCCGAGGTAGAAATAATGGCTTGTGCATAAGAGCTTTTATGGATGATATCAATATCTTTCCGCCAGAGTTCTTGGGATGTAGCGCATTCCATCCCGTCTGTAAATTATAATATGGTTAGTGAAGAAATTCAAGGCTTTCAAATGTGAAAGCCTATCATCATGGAAGAGTGTCGTTGTTAATTGAATTTTAGGACAGAATTTGACAGAATTTCTTAGTAGTTAAAGCAAGACAAGTGCCGCGTTTAGACAGATAGCATACGCTACAAATGAAGGATAGATATCGTCAAGCGAATATTCATCAGCAGATGAAAGGAAGTCTTAAAAAAGGTAGAAAATACGCCTCTGTATGGCTAATTGAAGATTTGGATGTTTTTGTTCAGTCCAGGTGAGATAACATTTTCAAGTATACAGTGTCAGTAAGAACTGATCAAATTTTTCAGTGGCCTGGTAGCACTTACATTAGAATATGCTTTGCCATTCAGTAACATTTTCACTCTAGTGTTATTTTCATCACATATTTTCATTGAAATACTAATCTTATATAAACAAGTTATGTTCTTAGAAAATATTTCTTTGTTATAAAATATTTCATTGTACTTGTCAAATCTGGAAAAGTAAAAATATATTCAAATATTACCAATGATTTCAGTTATGTGAAGTCTGAAGGACATTTTGCAAAAATATTTATAACAGTCAACTTTCTTATGTATCTTTTCAAAACTCTTGAAAAAGTATCGTTTTTTTTTAACTCAGCATGTATCATGAAAACATATAAAATAAAATAGAAAAAATAACATTTAAACGGGAATTTGCATTCAGTATAGAGAAATATTTCTCCTTTAATATGATAAAGTACTTCAACATTCTATATTTGGTTCGACTATCCAATTATATTGCATGATGAGGCATCCACTCAACGAAATATCGGTAGAAAAATCGATGCGGACCATCATAATGCTCTCGACAAACTTTGCTCTCTGTGATAATATCGTCTATTAGCAGTTCGCTAATTTTGCAGCATTAGTTTGTCATATGGAAACATTGAGATTCACAAGTTGCACCTAACTACAGGCCTCTACTTTATTGCAAACGTACTTAACTCACACACTTATAGAAAGTAACCTAGGGCGAATGTATGTCCTGTATAAACTATTAGTTTAATTCTGCAGTAGAGGGCATCAAAACGTATGATAATCACTTGCTTCGTAATCTGGTGGGATTGATCAGTAATGACGATTTTGTATTATAGTATGCATTACTGTTTCTATATCAATATAAATTAAATGATTTCTCTTATTGATCTAGCGAATTAGTTTATTTAACCATCATTATATAGATGTTTATGTCGTTGACTAAATACGTAATATAGTCACAAGAATGCTGCGGTTATCACTTTTTTCTTTGACTTAATTATTAAATTACACCTATATCCATCACAAAAGTGCATGTCTAATCGTTTTACTTATATTTCTGATAGAATTAATAGAATACAACTGATAATAGTGGCAGTGGAAATCATACCACTTCAAAATTTAACACAAATGATTTCAATACGATCTTACGTATTTTATAGATAAAAATTAATTGATATGTGAAGTATGTTAAATTGAATGCAGTTACTTTTAATTTCCTGTTTGTTTAAATAAAGTCTAGAAAATGTCGGTGCTAATCTTTTAAGACCACGAAATGCATATTTATTTTTTATAGTCGCATTTAAATAGCTATTAATACTTTCCTTATTTTCGAGAAGGTATCTTTTATATTTCTGTACACCTTAAAATTCTGATATTTGCTCAAATTTTTTGAAGTGAATCGGACCATGAACTTATTAATAACGCTCATTTGGTGCATAATATCTTTCAAAATAACTGAAAATATTTCTTTCTATTGGAAAAAAAAAGAAAAAATACCAGTCATCATAACCGAAATGTTTATATGTTGGTCGTGTTCGTTCGGTTTTACTTGTTCTTCTCTAACACATATAAAGAAAAGGTATCCGACCAATATGACTATTGTTTGCTTGTAAGAGTATTGTAAAACAAATTCAGTTCCAATTATTTTCTGTACTGATTATAGCACGTGCTTGAGAACATTTGCGAAAAGCGTTTGAGTTTCTTTTTCTTCTGAGCATCATGTTTAATAACGTTTATTAAGACACATTTGTTAAACTAACAGATGCATGGTATACTCTAATTCTGGCATCGTAAGAAATGGTCAATTTTGACAAATTATGGAAGAGAAACACCTAAAGATTAATATATATATATATATATATATATATATATATATATATATATATGAAGAAATATACTCTTAAGGTGTGCTAATATTTATGAGATAAAGTGCTCAGTGTCAGAGATAGAGCGTGTATAAATATAAAAGTGAACATTGAAGTCAACACTTAGAGGTGACAGTCTGTTTCATGCCAGACGCAATCGTGGCCTGACGAATGCGTCTAGCATGAAACAGCCTGTCGCCTCTAAGTGTTGACTTCAATGTACACTTATATATATATATATATATATATATATATATATATATATATATATATATATATATATATATATATATGTGTGTAAAATGTAGTATGTTTATAAATATAAATATATATATATATATGCAATTTTCTATATATTATTATTTATATATTATAGCGCTCAATATTAGTGATAGAGCTAACACATTTAGTTGGATTTCACGCTAATCTAACTATATATATATATAAACACACACACACATCTATCTATCTATCTATCTATATATATATATATATATATATATATATATATATATGCGTGCGTGTATTTAATATTCCAAGGAGGCCCTGAGAATGTGAATGTCAATCCAAACCAAAATAGCTGTTAATTTATTTGGATGATGCCCTTATTTGTTTAAGTGATCGATATAGATATTTAAGCAGGTTTTCATTGATGAAAATCTAACTAAATATCAGAATTTATAATTAGAAAAATATTAATTGATATGATTACGGATAAGAGAAAAGTAAAAAAAAAATTGAAACCATAAAAGAAATGTAAATTAAAAAAAGTTTTCAACAGTGGAATCGAAACAGATGAGCATTTTTTAACATATAATATTTGAAAGACAATCATGACATTTCAAATATTGTTTTTATGTAGGTACCTAAAATTCAATAAAATATTGGAATGCTTAAGATTTTTAAGATTACTGGGTTAAAAATTTTCTAAAAAAGGTGTTTACTTTGTAATCTCTATGTAATTTTGTTACAATTATTTCCCCCCTAACATAAACCTCGGAAACATCAGGTTTCAACATCTCATCATGACAGCCACCTCTAAGTTAAATGTTTTTATGCGATATTTTATAATAAAAGTAAGAAACATTTGTTTTAATTCAGATAATCTTTAAAACAGTTAATCTTCCTCAAATAAAGTTTCAGAAAAGTATATTTTATTTCTGAAAGACTAAAAAATTATGCTATATTCACAAACTTGTCATTGTGGTCGATTATAGCGATTTTACTAATAAAAATCATTTCAATTAATTTAAATTCGGTTTGGAATACACCAAACTGTATTGCTTATTGGAAATATAAATTTAATTTATTAACCTGGAATTAAAACTAAAATAAAAGCTTCAAGAAAGATGTTTCTAACCTTAGGTATCGTTTTTTTGGAGGTACCTATTTTTATGTAATAGTAATAAACTATTTATGAAGTTTTGCGAACCAATTTAAAATATTTTACTCAGTAGAAGTTAATTTCGTTAAAAACATTTCCGTGTCTGCAAAGAACATAATTAGTAGTTTGCTTTTTTATTTAGCTTAGTCTCACTAGAAAATACTTTCCCCTCATTTTAAGCACATTGTTTAGTGTATATACTATTTCTCAGATTTTTCGGTTGAAAGTAGGCAAAGCGAAAAAGAAATTATGGTCATATCTTATAGAATTTTGTTTCCTTAGTGTAATTTTTAGTTATTCCATTAAGATGTATCACGAAAAGAAATCTACTTCTTTCATTAATGTGATGAGTGATGCTTTATTGCCTTGGTGGTTTATTAGCTTTGTTAATTGGCCTTTTCGTGACTTATAAACTTGTGTTGATAAAGTACACTAGATAAAAGAAATCGATATTTGTCTCATCTAAGTGTTGCATCTGCAAAAATTAGCTTTAACAATGTCACCAAGTGTGAATTGTGAAAACTTAAAAGTGTAATAAGGCAATAAAAGTGGATGAGTCAAACAACCGCATTTAAATAAACAAAACATAGAAATGTGTATGGTGAAGATATACTAGAAAATTGATTTCTCAACAGAATGTTTTAGTAAATAATGTAGAAATAGATTGGAGAGATTTGCTATGATAGGGGATCAGATCCATCAAATAAATAGTCAACGAACACGATTCAAAAAATAATGAGGAGAAATGTTTTGAGCTGGTATTATAGACAGTAGACTTATCATTCCCTT